GATGGTATTGAACCAGTGTCCAAAAATTATTTCCTTCATCTTTTCTTCCTTCCTTTTCTTTTTTCATAATAAATGTTTTGCAAAACAAAATGAATATATTTATTATGAAAAGTTGCTATCGCATCATATTCTTTTTACTTCCCCTTGCTTTCCCTGCTCTCCCTTCTCCCTACATTCCCAGACCCCTCATCTGCAAAAGTATACCTCACTGTTTCCTATCATTTATCTTTTATTTTGTTCTTTAAATTATATATACTTTAGGTTCCTCATACAAGAGAAACCTTGTGATATTTAACTCTGTATCTGAAATACTTTCTTTTAAGAGGTTCACTGAGATTGTATTTAAGTCTGCAGGTACCCATTCCATTCTTATTGATATTAGTATCTATTTAAAGATTGGGTCTTTGTCCTGTTGAATTTCCTATAGACTGGGCTTGATCATTTCACCCACTGGTGCTCTTTACTATGTTCTTCTGTCCTATTCTATTATCAGAAGTCAGATCTAGCACCCTGTTTAGAATCCAGTTGTGATGATGATGATTATATTATTGTCACTGTTACTGACCAGACGATATATCATGGGAGGGATTGTGCTCTTCTCCCAAGACAAATGTGATGATCATATCATTGATTTATTCACTGGGTTCGGCAAAATGCTGACACTCTAGCCGCAGTGCTTTGCTTAGCTGCAGTGGTTTCTGAAGACAGACTTTACCTGCCAGATAACTGCTGCTCTGCTTTTGAGAAACAGCTTTTGCTCACTGAGAGTTGGTACAGAGGGAATGTTTATCTGCAGTCCACCATGTACTCAGCGGCACTCACACAAGAAAGGCAAGATAAATGCTCGATTTTTCTCTTTATAAACCATTTCAAAATGTGGAGCAGCTTCCCAGGATGAACATTTTTATATAGTATAAGTCCATTACATTCAAACATTGTTGTGTACGTCAGTCTGTCATTGTCATGGTGCTTGCTGATGCTAACACATGCCTTCTCTAATCACTGAAATCCTCAAGTTGGGACTGTACTCAGTTAAATATGTCTATTATAACAAAATATTGTAAACACATATATAAATCCAAGATCAAAATATAAGAGATTACTTTTGATCTAAAAATATAGAAAATATTAAAATAAGTGACAAAGTAATTTATAGCATGGATGCTTATGAAAAAGAAATGTATGATCATATGAATATCAACAAATAAAATATTATATTTAAAAGTTTATTTATAAAAGGACATTTTAAAATAAGTATTTTGAATCCAAGCAAATGATATGAAATTTTAACATTTTATGTAGTAAAGATTTAGAACATATAAAGCAGAATCATAGATTTTAAAATAAAATATACACATCCAAATCACTAGAGGATATAAATTAAATGCAAGAGAGCTGAAATTATACCACAGCTCTCTTAGTAACTGAGCAAAGAGACAATTAACACTCAAATTTTAGAAGTGAATAAAAAATATTGGGCATGGGAATGAATTGATATGTACTGAACTTTGCATTCACAACTACTGAATATAATTCCCTTGAAGCGCATGAAACATGAAGGAATCACCTCACCCCACCACTGTTCTTGTAGACGAGAAAAGGACATAACGCAGAGGGAAGAAGGGCAAGTAGAGACAAGGTGCCAGGTTGAGTGATGAGAATTCAAGGTGAGAAGCACTAGAAGGTGCTACAAGCTGTGGACAGACAAGGAAGAAGTTAACAACTTGGTTTTGAACGTCTGTCTCCCAGATCTGTCAGTGAATATATCTCTGTCCTTTTTGTGACAGTTTCTTTAGGTAATGAATAGAATATGACAGGGAAGCAATTTGGTTTTGCTGGGAAGGTCAGCAGTATACCCTCACTGTTCTGGTTTACAGGTACTTGAATTCTCTAGCTCTAAGTCAAAATTGAGCCTACAGGGATCTTGATCACCTCTCAGGATCCTTCCGTATTCTACTTCATTTATTTCTACTATTTTAGACATCATATAGATATATCCCCCATTTATTTGTGGACTCTTCTATACTGGGGGCTGCACAACCCCTCAACCCCCTGACTAAGGGTATGGCGAGGATAAAGAATAATACAAGAGACAAAGGTTTGCATAATGGGGTCTGGGACTGTCAGACCCCAAGACTCTGAACTTGCCACTATTTATTGATCATACAACATTGCAGGGGGGTAAAGGCAGATACAGGGAGTACCAGGGACTGAGGCACTGATGAGAGCCAGGCTTGTAAAAGGGAGGAGCGATGCATTCCTATGAAAGAGAGGTCACAATTAATGAGTGACCTGCTTGTTTTCTTTAGCTAACATTTGTTCTGGGAGCATGGCTCCACAAGAATCATAAAGCTCTCAGCTGCAGTGTTTTATTTCTATCAGAGGAGACGCAATGTCACCAACCTTTGAGGCCTCAACCATGGCCGTTGGCCAGCTGAATGCTCATCTAGCAAGTCACGTAGGCCTAGGACAGACTCACAATTTAATCAGTAGCCAATTCATAAGCCAACTCAATAATATTTTATAGTCTGCTCAGAGTGGTTTCAAGCTGGTCTCCTGCACTTCTGCTGAAGAACAATAGGGTTAATTTCTTTTTTTCCCCTAGAGTTTCCTAATATAGCGTGATTTTTCCCACCAAGTTTTTCGTGTAGACATGCACTGCACGGTAGAAAGCCAAACCCCAGGAGCAGTCTGTAATTTACTTGGGTGACCATCGTGAGGGCAAACTCCAGGGACACAGGTTATTCTGTCCTGACCCTTGGCTTTTCCACTCTCCTTTCTTCACCAAATCTTTGTGTGTTTGCCTGTCTGCACTCATACATTCCATAAAAAGAGAACGCTGGACCCTTTTTGTTATAAATTGTTGTGGGTTTGACTGTTCCTGGTGAGAAACTACATGGCATTCAATTCTTCTTTCTTTGTTTACTTATCTGGATAAACTTCTCTCAGAATAGCTGAACCAGCGAACAAACAGCACCCTCCGGGTCCCTGTTTTCTCTGTCCGTTCTCATTTGGGGAGTGTGTTAAATCTGTACCATTCAAAACTTCAAACCCTCGTCGCTGTGGACTTCCAGTGACTTTTCAGGGTTTTTCCACCACTTGAGAACCTGATGTACTTCCCATAGATATATGCCAACACTTTTGATTACTATAGTTTTGAAAAGAGTCTTTAATTATCTCAGGACAGGTTCCTTCCTCTTGCTTACACCTTTCAGTCCTTTGACTATTTTTCATCATGGTCCATACAATTTAAATCAGTTTCTTCAGGGTTAGAAAAATCTGGTCACGTAGGAAAACAATGAGTTTACAAATTAAGTTTAAAAATAAAAATATTTATGGTGTTGACCCCTGTCACTCATTAACATGGGATATAGTATTTATTCAGGACTCCTTTGATGCCCATCAATAACATTTAAAATTTATATTTCTCCTCTATATTTTAGGAAAGTGCACATCTTTTTTTGTATTTACTCTAAACTGTTTTATAGTCATGATTGTTTTATATTTTTTGACAGAGAGACTTCCTGGGTTTTTCTAGATTGTATTTTTTATGTAGCATGTTTTGATTGTTACATTTAATAATATATCACGACAGTGTCAGGATATACAATAGTCTAGTGGGAGAATATGGAGCCTAGAAACACATCCACATGGACATGGACACTTGGCTTATGAGAAAGTGGCTTCATATTGTTCTCATATAGTGGAAAGTGCGGTTTCCTCTGCAGATGATCAATAGATAAGTGGCCAAAAACAAAAAGAAAAATGGAACTTGACATTACTTCAATTCAGTCGTGAAAATTAATTTCAAATGAATTGAGGTTGATTACAGGAAACAATAAGCAATCTAACTTCTTAAAGACAAAGTTAGATTCTGTGACTGGAGTAGGCACAGATTTTTCTTAACATGAGACATAATTCACTAACCATAAAGAGGCAAACTGGTGAACTTAAAACATTAAATGTAAGAACGTCTGCTGAACAGGTGGCACGAGACCATTAGACAGTGGGGGAAAAGCTACAAATGAAAGGAGATATTTGAAAAATCAGCTAATCAACAAACTGCTCGTATCCAGGATATGTGAACAACTCTTACAAGGAAAAGACAGAGAACAGTCCCCAAAATGTAAACCATAAAACTACCCCAAACAGGACATCTGAATGGCTCCTAATATATGAAAAGAGGTGAGCATTCACTAGCCAGTAGGGAAATATAAATTAAACCTAAGAAAGTGTCAGCAGAAGTGATTGAAATTAAATTTTGGCAGCTATACAAAATGCCCACTTATGTCTACCCCATTACCAATCAATTACACTCCTAGAAATTTCCATCAGAATTCCATTTTGTGTACACTGAGAGATATGTGAAGGATGTAATAGCAGTATTGTTTTAAAGGCAATAACTGGAAACAGTGCACACGTCCCTCAGGAGGGGGACAGATGGTATCTTCCTATGCAGTGAGAAAAATCAAGGAAATCTTATAGACAATCACATGGACTTGTCTCACAAAGATGATGTTGTCCCACAGGCAGGGGCAACTGTGGTCAGGGTCTGGTCAGGGGCTGGGTGGGTTGGAAGAGGATGAAGCATGAATGGGAGTAATTGTGGGATTGGGCACCTTTTTCTTAACTTGAGTGGGGCTGGTCTCCCCAGACTGTGCAGTTATGACTTTGTGATTCGACCATACGTATGTAATTGCCCCCATGTTCACCCCAGACTCACTCCTTCCCCAGAGAGGCTCTGTCTGTCAGATCAGCTACTGATGACCAACTCCTCACAGGAAACGCTTGGCCATATAGTGAAATTGTTGTTTTAAGTGGGTCTCTTTGACAGTGATGTGGAATATGAGCTGAGAGAGTGAAGGGAAGAAGCCAGGAGGGCTTCCAGACGGCACTCATGGACGGCCACAAGAACAGGGGTCCATGCAGCTGGGCGAGGTCTGGAAGGGGGACTGGCATGGAATGTAATTAGAGATTTTAATTTTCTTTTTCAAAACTAGATATGTGAAGCCCAAATGTCAACTCTCTTTCATAGAGAAAATCCCTTTGAATGCCAACAAAGGTAAGTATTTCTGCCTTGTACCGTAACAGAAAGTGACTTGCTCTATCTCTGCACCATTTATTTTCTGGAAGGAAAAAACATGATTGATTCCTCTTAGTAAATATCTGCTCCATGATATGCTCTCAAGAAGTGCTGCCTAAATGGATGGATGGATGAAAGAAAGCTAGAAAGAGGGAAAAGAGAAAGAAATGAGGGAGGCCGGGAGGGTACAAAAGAAAGGAAGGAAGGAAATCAATGTCCTCAACTCACACAGTGGTCCCTTGGAGCCATGTTCCTGCCCCAGGACACTGTCTCTCACGGACCACCCCTTCACAGGGCCGCCTGCCTCTGTCCCAGCCTCCGCAGGGCGTCCTTCACATCCTTGTTCCGCAGACTGTAGATGAGGGGGTTGAGCATCGGGATGACCAGGGTGTAGAAGATGGAGACCACCTTGCCCTGCTCCATGGACTCCACAGCCCCTGGCTGTGCATACATGACAAACACTGTCCCGATGAACAAGGACATGGCTGTCATGTGGGAGCCACAGGTGGAGATGACCTTTTGTCTCCCTGACCCTGAACGCATCCTGAGGATGGTCACTGTGATGTAGCCATAGGAGATGAGGACCACAAGAGTGGTGCCCACAATGATGAGTTCACAGATAGCAAACATGACCAGCTCATTGAGAGCCGTGTCGTCGCAGAAGAAGTGGTTGATGCGGTTGGAGCTGCAGAAGGGGAGCTGGAAGGTGAGGCTGGTCTGCACAATGGAGTTGAAGCAGCCTCCACAGTAGGTTCCCATCACCAGACGGGTACATCTTGTGGGGCACATGGTCATGGCATAGCTCAGGGGGCTGCAGATGGCCACGAAGTGGTCATAGGCCATTACTCCCAGGAGGAATCCCTCAGTGGTGATGAGTAAAGAGAAAAAGAAGAGCTGGGTGGCACAGCCAGTAAAGCTGATGACCTTGGAAAAGGAGAAGAAGTTAACCAGGGCATTGGGGGTGATGACAGATGAGTAGCAGAGGTCCAGGAAGGACAGGTTCTTGAGGAAGAAGTACATGGGCGAGTGCAGGCGGGCATCCAGGCTGATGACTGAAATCATGGTGAGGTTGCCCATGACGGTCACCACGTACAGGGCCAGGAAGATGGCAAAGAGCAAGGCCTGGGTCTCCACGCCTCCCCTGAATCCCTCCAGCACAAACTCCTGAAAGGGCATTGCTGAGAGGTTCCCATGTCTGTGAGTTGTCATGGCCCTGAGATGGGACAGCTGTGCAGAGAGGCCGGTGGAGGCAGGAAAGGGAGAAGGTCATAGTCTCATGATCACACATCCCATGGGTCACAGGAACCTGTCAGTGCCATGCTGCCCATCACCAGGAGCTGCTGCTTCCTGAGTCCCCTTCCAGGTGAGCTCACTGTGTCCTGAAAGGGGAAATGTGCTCTGAGTTACTTAGTCCATGAGTCAGGCCTGAGCCCTGTACATGGTGACCATCACATAGTCCTGTGTAAGGGACTTTGCTTTGTGGAATGCAAAGACCTGTCCAGAGCTGCATGTCTCTCAGCGCTAGGACAGTGTTCTGGGTTGGCACCATCTCTACACCATGTCTGCCTCTGAGCAGCTGCCCTGCTACCCTGAGGGAGGCTCCTCAGCAGCACCAGTGTGCATGGTCCCATCCCGCACTGCCCAGGTCTCAGCTCCTCTCTCCTCAATCAGGAAATGGCTGTGAGGACCTCCTGTGCACCAGGCCTCTGGCCGAGTGATCACACCCGCTCAGGAGTGGTGCTGCTGACTCACTCTGTGCTGCACACTGGCCCGCTTCCCCTCCTGTAAAGCCTGGAACATCCATGAATCCCCCAGGAGGCCTCTGCTGATGACAGTGTCCCACCTCTCTGGGTTCCTAGCTATCCAGGGAAGACTTTTCCTGACTCCAACAACTTGCCCCTGAGGTGTGAACCTTGGTGAGCAGTAAGCACTGACCTGAGCTCAGTAACCAGTGGTGTGACGTGGAGAGGGAGGTGTCTCTCGGCTGTAGACCGCGATCTGTGCCAGACCGGATATTTGGGCACAGGCGAGGACCAAGGCCAGGACAGACTGTAGGCAGGCTGATGCCTAGGCTGGAAGCAGAGGGACATGGCTGGAGCTGAGCTGCCCTTGCAGGGTCCCTGGGTCCCGGGCCTAATACCTGGGTGCAGTTTACCCAGGGAGTGGAGTGGGCATGGGGCAGGGGCTGCTCTGCACATCTTGGACAGCAGCTCGGGTGACACCCCAGCTTTCCTCAGGTCCCCAGCCACTGCCCCCACCGACCTCTGCACCCCCACCCTGTTGTCCCCCACAGGAGGGACCCCTGTCACCAGGGCGGCCCGTCTTCTCACTACCCACCTGCAAGTCCCACAAGCTTCTCAGCTTCATGCCTCTGGCCGGTTCCCAGGACAGCCTCGTCAGGCTCTCGGGTCATCCACTGCGACCACCGAGAAAGCCTGTGCCAGTGTCCCAGGGGACCCTGGCCCTTCTACCTGCAGAGCAAGTTTGCCCTTTGTTTTGGAACAAGAGGCACACACAGCGCCTGCTGGTGCTCAGGTGATGGGGCTGCAGCAGGGCCTTCAGTAAACTGGTCCACTCCCTGGGCTGATGACCATCATGCTGGGCGGTGCAGGAGGAGCTGTATCCTCCTTGCCTGCAATGGCTCTGTCCTGCCTGCCTGCACTGTAAACTCTTACACCGGCCGTGGCATGGCCATCACCCAGAGCTGACTGCAGTAACCCACACTCCACTGCCCCCAGATCTCTTCCTCCCACACGGAGCCATGAAAGGGAGAGCTGGGTGCTGCCAGGTGCATCCCCAAGAACGGTCTGTCAGTGCTGACCACGCCCACACTCTGGCCCCTGTCGGCGGGGGCGGGGGGCTGGACTCACCGAGGCCTGTGTGCTTGGGGTTCGTGCTCCCCATCCTGGTCTGTGCTGAAGGTGGTGAGGGGGAGGGGAGGCCTCTGGGCTCCAGCACAGGTCGGTCCTGGGTCCCGAGCAGTGCAGTGGTGTGGGCAGCAGCCAGGGTCCACACTGGGGTCCCAGCCGCAACAAGCTGTAGGTCCTGGGGAGGGGGCACGCGGGGCTCCTTCACCCTGCTCAGCTCCTGTCCCCCTCAGGCAGGCAGTGTGCCGAGGCTCCTGCCTCGGGGTCGCTGCTGGGCCGGGTCCTCTGCACCTGGCAGCGCGGGGACTCGGGCCTCTGATGGCCAATTAGGGAAGCTCTCCTGGGTCCCCCGCCACCACCTGGTCTGGCTCCCTCTCTCCTGCGCCACTGGGACCAAGCCCAGACAGAAGTCCCTCGGGCCTGGAGGGGAGGCGGGAGACGTGCCCTTCGCAGACCGTGCAAGTGTCTCTCTCCCCAGAGGTGGGCAGTTACCCAGAGCTTACCCTGTGTGCACTCTGACGCTGGTCTCAGTATTTCCTGGCCGAAAATCAACACTGAGCCCTGGGACTGTCAAGTTGCTTTCAGTTTTAACCCTAGCGTCTTAATATAGAAAAAGCACAAGGATAATAAAGTAATGATTCACAATTCCATGCACAGACTTTAAAATCATAAAATAAATGGTCAAAGCAACCAATTTCAACAGCAGTAAAAATGTAAAATGGGAAGGAAGGGCCATCCAAGGCCTCACCCCAGCCCGGCTTGCCCAGGGACGGCGTGTGAGCTCCACATCCTGCCCGGCTCACCCACACCTTGTGGATGACACTGCTGTTTGGGCCTCCGCCTCCCCACTCATTCACCCTCCGCCCGCACCCACGTCGCCTCCCAGAACAATCCCGCTCTGAGCCTCTGCTGGGTGCTCTCGGACACGAGTGGGAACGGAGCCTGGGCCAGCACGTGTCACCAGTGTCACCAGTGAGCGGGTGGACACGGGGCCGCGACCTCCCCCCGAGAGCGCCTCTGCCCGGAGTGCCCTCCTCTGCAGGGCTGCACTTCATTTCCCTGCCTTCTTTGCGCCGTCCTGCCTGGCCTGGTCCCTGTTCACACGTCTGCCTCCCGACTCTGCTCGGCCACTGCTGTCATTGCCGGTGTGCACCGGAGCTCGCCCAAGAGGGCAGCGCCCTCGAGAAACGCTCAGCAAGCACGGGATCCAACACACCACACCCCTCCCCCGGGTGTGTGAGGTCACTCTGGGTGTGGCTACTCTGTGGGCCTTGACCAACGTCCAGTGACTCATCCACCCCGAGAGTCACACAGCCGCCATGCTGCCTGGCATGCACTGTGGGGGTGTGGGCTTCCCTGGAGAGGTCGCCAGCGTCCACCGCCCCCCGCAGGACCTCGCCAAGGCCATGCACATCAGGTGCGGTTTTATCATTATTGCTACAGACAGCACTTTGGCGAACATTCCTGGTCTATGCTTTTGATGTAGTTTTATGAGTACACCTATTGGGTAAATGCTTAACAGTGGATTTGTTAGAATGTAAGAACTTTAGCATTTTGGCAAGCAGCACGAAAATCCCTTCAACAGTGCTTTGTCCACCAATTACCACTTTCTCCAAAAGTACTGCTTCTACCCTCCAGGAAATGGTGGAAAACTTATAATCTTTTAATCCGATGGGTGAGAAGTTCTGTTATTATTTTGGTTTGCATGTTAAAATTTTGAGTACATTAAATAAATACCATCATATCATCATAGCCTATCACATTGCTATAACAAAACACCTGACGCTGGCTCATTTGTAAACCGTGGCAACTGATTTCTCACAGTCCTGGAGGCCGGAGGTTCACCATCGGTGATCGGGCTCTGGTGAGAGTCGGTTCCTCACAGATGGCACTGTCTAGGTGTCCTCAGAGAGCCAGAGGACAGAAGGGCACAGAGGTAGGCAAGGTCCCACACACCTTCTCCGGGCTTCACACTCAGGACTCTGCTTCCAAAAGGCCTCCTCTCTTCATGCCACCATGAAGAAAATGAAGCCAGCACTTGGATTTCAGAGCAGTTGTAAACATCCGAGCCACGGCAGCTGATCATCTGTGCTTCTTATTCATGGAACTACTTGGGAAATTTTTAACTTAACACCCCTTTCATTTCATTTTACGAAAGCACCTTTATTTTATTCATTTATACATTAATTCAACCGTCTTAAGGTGTTAGTACTGGGATTTTTGTTCGGTAATTTCTCATCACACAGCTTTTTCACACAGCTCTTACCCATGATGGTACATAATGGCTCCCAAGCTCCCCCTTCCTTGGCGATGCTCTTTCTTCATAGAGTAAACACTGCCACGGATAAATATGGAGGCTTCCCTTTGTCTGGAAACTGGTAAAGGAAATGTGAATTTGCCTACAGAAAGCATCTCAAAACCTCTTTACCGATGATGCTGGTTTGACAGATGGCTTCAGAGCTGGGAGGACAATAAGGAGGGGCAGGCCTGGGGAGAATGTCAAATAAAGGCTCTAACCACTGCTCAGCTCCAGTGGCTATCGCTGGAGAGAAACGCAGGTGCAGTGTTACCAACCCTCCTGCATTTCCAGAGGAAGCGGGGCCCAGAGCTGCAGCTACCCGTGCCAGCGGCAGGCGAGCCAAAGTCATAGAAAAGCTGGCCAGAGCCCACAGAGCAACGCACTCTTTAAAATAACAGAAACTGTGAACTTTAAATCATGTAAGAATGGTTTCTAATTTTAAAAATTTTAAAATAAAAAGGAAGGAGGATGAAATAAGAATATTTACCAAAAAAGTAAAACAGTGAGAATGTGGGACCAGCAGGAGTCCACTAGAGGAGACACTAGAGTTGGTCTTCAGGTAGCAGAAAGCTGACCCTGGTGGGTGGAAGCAGAGAGGACCCAAGTGTGTGTATCAAGGAGGGATGGAGGCAAACAGTGCACCTGTAAAGGACCTGAGAGGTCAAGGAAAATGTCCTGAAAGTTTGATGCAGAAATCTATAAATACAGACCAGGCTTAATCATTGTGTTGTTCATTTTTCTGTGTTTTAATACAATTACCCTTAATAGCTTAACCCATAAATAATTGTTTAAATCTACTATTATGATGGTGGAATTACAAGAATCTCCCTACTTATGACTACTTTGAAGCTATTTTTTTATATTCTTACATGTTTAAAACTGTTTTATCTTATTGTAAATTGCATCTTTTTTCCCCCAATACTGGGGATCAAACTCAGGACCCTGTACTTGTGAGGCAGGAGTGGCAACACTGAGCTACATTGCCGGCCCTGCAAATTGAATCTTTTAGCACTGTACAGAAGCCTTCTTTGTCCAGAGTACGGTGTTTTGTCTTAAAGTTTAGGGTTTCTCCCAAAATATATACCGTTTGCCAGACTTTTTGGTTGCTAATTGCCTGAAATACATTCTTCTATTTCTTTAAACCTTTCCATGGCCTAATGGTTTAAGAATATTTCTCATGCATATCATGTAGCTGGATTTGCCCTTCTTGGTAACTATTTTACAATTTCTGGTATTGCTACATTCATGTGAATATAAATATAGTCAGAATTGCATAACGAGTTTACTTCTTGGTTTACTGTTTAATACCTCTGAACTCACGGGTGAGGTCTGGGATAGGCCCACTCCATCTTCTCACTTCCTAAGTCTGTGGAGTCCTACTTCCTTGCATTCAGGTGGATCCTGCATTTCAGTCTCATGAAATGTGGGACACGGTTATTACCAGACTCCCACTAACCAACAACTCATCCTTTCCAAGGCTTCTCAACTCATGGAGCCGACACACTCACTGCAGAATCTTGGGGCAGCTCGCCATCCGCCCCACCCAGTGTCCAACCTGTCTTCCACGGCCCGCTCCTAAGTTCCCACACATATCCCCAGCTCTGGGTAATATAAGGTAGTGGAGCGTGGGTCACCTCCTCCTAGGTGAGGTGTTGAACTTGTACCTCAAGGACACTGACTATAGCTTTGGACCCAGAGGACAACAGTCAGCCCCCTCTGGCCACGGCCTTGGGTGTGGTGCCTCCCAACCCTGCTGCAAGCAAAGCCTGGGAAGCTGTCTTCTACTGTTGTGGAGGTGCAGGGAGATTTGGGTTAAGTTCTTCAGCTTAATCCACATCCACCCACATATTCCCATTTCAAGTTTGAGCACCAGATTCCTTCCCAAACAATCCCCCGTGTAAGACTCTCGCTGAAGCCATAAATTCAACTTACATGGCATTTCTACAGAATGTGTGTTTAGACTTAGGGGCATATTTGCAGTGACTTTTGCCCTGTGACTTCAAGAAAAACAGGAACTCTGAGGGGCTGGGTAGACCCTGTTCCACTCCCTGCCCTGGCCCTCTCTGAGCACACGAAGCCCTGAGCTACACTACTACTGCAAGGCAAACTTGCCAGTGTTCTTCCACCTTTGCTTCAGGGTTTTCTCCACAATGGCAGTCTAGGATTTTTCCATATGTAAAACTTTTAACTTCAGATACCGTGACTTTAACCTGTGTACATTCAGTTGACTTTTTACTTTTGTTCCACACTGGCTTTATCATGGTTGCACACTGTAGGAATGTGTTTCCTGTGCATCTAAATTTTAGGTGGCATGGTTTTTCATGCTGCCCTCTTGTCATTTTCATTAGCCTTTAGGAAGAACAAATTCTTAATGTAGTTGATCCTTTTTACTGGATATTCCTTTCCTATTTCACTAATTTCTATTCTTGTCTTTACTCCTTTTCTTTTACTTTCTTTGGGTTACATTTGCTTTTCTAGTAATTTCTTGAGATGCCTTTCATTATTTTCACCAAAAAATGCAAATAATTGTCTTGTGAAGATATGGGGTTTTTTCCTATGGCTGCCTTTACAGTTTCCTTTTTAATCTTATGTTAATGATCTTAACTGTGTCATGAATATCTAGTTTATTAAAAAATATTCTACTTGACGTTTCAACAATTATGGAAAGATCTTATCTGTGACTTCCTCAAATATTCTCCTCATCCAACCTCTTAGTCCTTCATTCAAGAATTCAAGTCATATATATATATTGACCTAATTACCTGATCTCCTAGGTCTTTTTTATTCCTTTCTAGCATTTTTATTGTTGTGTTAGTTGACAACTGAAAGGAAGAAAGTTTGTTCTGGCTTACAGTTTCTGAAGTTTCAGTCCATGGTCAGCTGGCTCCATTGCTAGGGTCTGTTGTGAGGCAGAAACATCATGGCAGAAGGATGTGGTGGAGCAAAGCAGCTCAGCTCATGGCAGGAAGGAAGCAAAGAGCAGAGGAAGACCAGAGAGGAGGGGGCTGGGGACTAGATCTACCCTTCAAGGGCACAACCCTGTGACCTGAGTCCTCCAGCTGGCCCACCTCCTAATAGCCTATCCAGCTATGAACTTGTCAGTGGATAAATCTGTCCATGAGGTTAGTGTCATCGTGGCCCAAACATCTCTGTAGGCCCCACTTCTGAACACTGCTGCACTGGGGATCAAGCCCTCACTCTATGAGTCTTTAAGGGACACTTCATAAACCATTAACAATTATTTTGTTATTTCATACGTAGATATATTTTGATCTGTATTCCACTTTACTAATTCTCTCTTCAGCTATATCAAATTGGTCATTAAGCCCATCCACTTACTTTTCCAGCAATTATTTTACTTTTTAATTCATAATATTAATTCCTCAAATGTTCTATTAATTCCTTGAACATACTGATACTTGTGTTGAAGCCTAGGATATCTTTTTGTCTGTGTTTCTAATGTCTACTTTTCTCCTTCTTTTCTGTCTTGCTTTTCTGAATGACTGGTTCCTTTTGATTAATTAACAGGCAGTACATATGTTTACATGCGTGGATGATTTGAGGCTCTGGATGATGCTAACCACCCTGCACTCACTTCGGCAGGAATTACCTTTGCTTCTAGTCAGCTGTCAGATCAGAAACTCCTGACCACATGAATCAAAACAGAAACTAGAAGATTGGAATCTGGGAGACGGAGCAAGACCCCATGAACTCTGCTCTCCTTCCATGTTATTGCTCTCTCCAGCACACTGTCATCCAAATGTCTCCTGCTAGGGGCCAGTTTTGTCATCCCAGGTCCACGAGTGCCAATCACTCCAGCATCTCGGCATCAGCCCTGGCAGATGACAATGTCCTCAAGGGAAGAAGGCCAGGGAGCTTTCATCTCACCACCGTGGCCTCAGCTGTGTCCCCACCTTAGCTCCAAACTCTCGCTGCCCTAGCAGCTGTCTAATGCTTGGAGACAATTGAAAAAATATTGAAAATTGTTTTATAGTTCAGAAGAAAAGTTTGTGTGAAGTGGTTTCCCCACTGTCAAAAATAAAATTCTCCCTGTATCGTGTTCCTTTCTTTTCTTTCTGAATTTCCAGAGTCATTTTGTTTTAGCTGTATGTTGTCTATGAAGTATCAAAGATCATGTAGGATTTTTTCTTACCATTTTGAGACCCATTTTCTTGAATACAATAGCTTCCTTCATTCCATTTATCTTTGTTGTGCCTTTTCAATACGTTAAAATTCATGACTCATATTTTCTCATATTTTATGTTCATGGTTTTTCTTAAATTTTCTCTTATTAAGTTTTGTACAAATAATTGAAAATATTTCTTCTACTTTTTCAGAATTTGTGAGCTACACATTTTTCATTTATTTTTTTCTCATTAAGTTTATTGGTACATTTTAGGTATAAAATACAGTTACATTCATCATTGGGATCTTGTACCTTTACATGAGTATCTTGGTTCTTTTTTTTCCCCCTTCCCTTGCCCTCCCTTCACACCCTCCACCCTTCCCTATTTGCAAAGATTTTGTTTCCTT